ACTCACTGGAGAGGGTCCCGCGTGTCTCTTGGGAGTCACCGTGGCCGGGTCTGTCTCTGTTTGTGGGAAGTGCTGACTTTGGGAAGCACAAGAGTACAGGGGAGCCGGGGTGCGACTGGGCGTCAGGGACTTCCCTGGCACACCTGAGGCCCTGGCTGCGGCGTCAGTGCTGTTCAACAAAGGAGAGACAGACAGAAGGAAGAGAGGGGCAGATCATAAGGAACAGTACATTGATGGTCATTCTGCACGGGCTGTGAACAGCATGGAACACGAACTCGTGAAATATCTATGGCAACCAATCCTTGGGCATTCTAAACCATGAACAGAAATTATTAACTTTTACAGTTTCAGTATTTCTCACTACGTGTTTAGAGTACAAGATAACCGCATTCCCTGTGGGGATTTGCGCACTTACTTAATACATCTTAGATCAGTTTTCAGGCCCCTTTCCCTCCTCTCTCTCCCCTGTTCATCCATCTCCCGGTCCTTTTCCCTCCGCCAAACATTTGCCTTTCTCTCCTACTGTGTATCTTGGTTTTCCTCTTGGTGTAAGTTTTAATGGAATTACGCATGATCGCTCTGACATGGCCGTGAGATCGGTGTGCTTTGATGTCCTATTGTACTGTCAAGGATAACGCTCATTCCACTGTGGGGACTCGGGAATGAATTATGTAACCACCCGGGCACACATGACTTTGACATTGTTCCTGCCCCTTCCTGTCTGAAGTAAACACGAGGCAACAGAGAGCAGAGCTCCTATCAGGATGGGGAGATGCGGGCAGGCACAGGGAGGAGCAGGGTCGGAGAGGACGTGCTCTCCATTAGAGCCCCTCAGGTGAAGGAGGCACCGCGTCCTCTTTGGGAACGCGAGGTGAGATGGTCTCTCGGGGTCCAAAACGGGATCACCATGGAAAGCAGAAAATGTTGGAAACAAGACGGTAACAAAACACAAATGAAAACTGGTGGCATCTCGCTACTGTACTTCAAAGGAAGTTTATAACTTGAAATATTGATGTTAGAAGAAGAAAAATCTTTTAATGAACTAAGTTAATTTTAAGGTTCTAAGGAAAAAACTAAATTCAAAATACTTTTAAGGAAGGAAAGGAAAAAGTAGAAATGAATGAAATGGAAAACACACTATAGGGTATTCAATAAAAACAAAGTTGGTACCTTGGGAAAACTAATAATGTCTTTAAAAATAAAAAAAAACACAGCAATAGCAGATGACAGGAATAAAGGTGGAGATATTGATCTAGATTCATGGGCACATTAAAAAGAAAATATTATTTAAAAAGCATATTAATACATGGAACAACTTAGATGATATAAACAGATTCCTTGGAAAATGGAACTTAGTAACACAGAAAGAAATGTAAAAGCATTTGTAGACCTACACCGATTTCAAAAATTGGATTTTAATGCAAAATCTTCCATCCAAGAAAAAAGCTACAGCAGGAGACAAACGACTTGGCCTTTTCACTCTTTTATAGTGACTTTAGTTGTGAGGTTTTCATAGATGGTACTCTTCTTTTTATCAAATTCAGGGTGTTCCCTTATTTTTCTAATTTTGTATGGAACGTGTCACACTTAAACACGTTTGCCTCGGTCTAATGAGACAATATAAATTCCTCCTGCTACTACTTTGTTGAGGTTTGATATGCACGGAAGGTATTGCCTGTAAGTTCCTTTTCTCCTCACTCTCCCTGGGCTTTAGTGTCACTGTTACACTGGGATCAGAAAGCAAATAGGGAAGGGTATGTTCTTCTCTGTGTTTGGAAGCGTTGAGGTAGGGACGTTACTGTCTGCCTTCACACATTGGGTACAGTTCTCTCGGGAAGTGGTCTAGACCCAATGTCACGGTCGTCGCCGTGCCGCACCGTCTCCTGTCGCCTCTCCCCTGTGTGCACCTCAGGCCGCATGGGCAGAGGGAGAGAAGAATGGAGCCGGGCTTACACCTGGCTCCACATGGCATGCAGACTCCGCTTGGAGTGGGCGTTTGTAGCCCTGCTGCCCCTCTTCAGGACAGCACTGGAGACGGAGAAGCGAAGTCCTCCTGACGAGCAGAACACTGGGCAGTGCACCGGGCCACACATTTTGCTTGGAAGAGAAACATTGGGGTTTCACTTGTAGACGTGCGACTGTCCCGAAATCCATGGGCTGTAGCCGCTGATCTGGCTTGATGGTCAGGCACTGGGAGTGAACAGGACTGGAAAACGGGTGACAAAGACCTGTGCTGAAGAACCCTAAGGGTGGACCTCTTCGTACAGGAAAAGGGTGCTGAAGTATTTGTGTGTCACATGAAGGCTCGTGATAAAGGACCACGAGAGAGAAGGACTGAGAATCAAGTGTATCCATGTGTCAGGGACCCACTGCTGCTCTTCACAGGATGTCTAGAAATCAGTGCATCCAAGTGGAAGCGGTGCCCCTCACCATGACTCTGAGGACCCACTAGCAACAGTTTTGCTCTCTGTTCCAGTAATCCCACCCTCTGCTTGCCTGTGTCAGCTCCGGAAGGGGAGACGAACAGAGCGGCTTCCATGTACTGGATCCTGAGACTTCCCGATGACCATCTCTGCCCGCCATGCCTGTGAATCAGCAGGCCAGGTGGGGAGGGATGGTTCTCATGGGGTTGAGAATCCAGACCGGCAGCAGAGATTGGACTCGTACTTAGCAGCAGGGCTGCAGAAGAGGATATTTGTAGTGCAGGAAATGACTGAGATCATCTCCCACTGTTGCCATCCGTTACTAAGGTCAACAAACCAACACGGACAGGGTGAGAACTTGTCCAGGCCTCCAGCAAGGAAGGCATTGGGATTTCCCTCCAGGTAAGGAATGAAGACATAGCAAGGTGCGAGCTGAGTATATATAAGCGTCCGTCACTGGGGCTGAGCACCGTGCGGTCTTCTGGCTCCCCAGCACGCAGACTACCTCTGTGGACCTCCTGCCCGTGACCCTCAGAGTGTGTAAGCCTGCTCTTCTATCTCCTTAGAGAACTATATATAGAAATATAAATATACATTTATATATTAGATTTTTCTTTAATGTTCCATATTAGAGCCATTGGCAAAAGATGGGGAAATCCTCATTTTCAAATACTAAAGATGGCGCAGTACTATAACATAATTGGAGTTATTGATTCGGCTTTTGACAGAAATCAGTCATGAGCTCAGTTTAGTCACAAGCTAACAGACCACCAATGGCAAACAAATGGAGATTTCTAAATAAAGGCAGAGAGAGCCTCAGTTATGAATTGCTTTACTGGTGTAGTTTGAGGGCTCAGTTTGATAAACGGAAGAAGTGCACCCAAGAATGCAGGTGAAGATGGTGATACACACAAATACTAATGACTTGTTGCATAGAGCCTGTTCCATCGCTTAGAGGCTGGCACATCCTCCTCCCGGAGATCGGGCTGTGACGCTGGGAAGCCACACACGATGAACCCACTGTGCAGTTTCCCCCATGTCGGCCCAGTAAATCTCGGCCTCCCATGAGTGCACAGGGTTTCTTCGGTGCCTCTCTCCCTGGCTTTTCCCACAAATGGCAGCACCTTTGAATGGTAGGACTAGTTGTTGATGTCAGTTCCTCTGGCAGATTTTCTGGGAGGCAAAGGAAACGTAGAACGGCATGAATTCTCACCACTCGGTTCTGTTTTCCTAGTGATCCGGGCTTTCATTGTCCAGAGAAAATAGTGGTCCCAGTTATCGATGGACAGAGCCAGTGAGTCAGCGAGCACACTTAGCAACTGTGATTTGAAATGAGCTCTACTTAAGCTAAGGGATTTGAGGTCCTTTCTCAGAAATGTTAGCTTTCCTTCAGATTTCTAAGCAGATCATTGCTAAAGCACATGATGTGTTACTAAGAACCATGGGAGAAGAAATGAGAGAGGAACAGACTTTTTAATGATCTCATCCATCCCTGTATCATCAGACAGTAAAATAGAAATGAGAGGTTGCAAGTTGCATGGCATGCAGACTCCGCTTGGAGTGGGCGTTTGTAGCCCTGCTGCCCCTCTTCAGGACAGCACTGGAGACGGAGAAGCGAAGTCCTCCTGACGAGCAGAACACTGGGCAGTGCACCGGGCCACACATTTTGCTTGGAAGAGAAACATTGGGGTTTCACTTGTAGACGTGCGACTGTCCCGAAATCCATGGGCTGTAGCCGCTGATCTGGCTTGATGGTCAGGCACTGGGAGTGAACAGGACTGGAAAACGGGTGACAAAGACCTGTGCTGAAGAACCCTAAGGGTGGACCTCTTCGTACAGGAAAAGGGTGCTGAAGTATTTGTGTGTCACATGAAGGCTCGTGATAAAGGACCACGAGAGAGAAGGACTGAGAATCAAGTGTATCCATGTGTCAGGGACCCACTGCTGCTCTTCACAGGATGTCTAGACATCAGTGCATCCAAGTGGAAGCGGTGCCCCTCACCATGACTCTGAGGACCCACTAGCAACAGTTTTGCTCTCTGTTCCAGTAATCCCACCCTCTGCTTGCCTGTGTCAGCTCCGGAAGGGGAGACGAACAGAGCGGCTTCCATGTACTGGATCCTGAGACTTCCCGATGACCATCTCTGCCCGCCATGCCTGTGAATCAGCAGGCCAGGTGGGGAGGGATGGTTCTCATGGGGTTGAGAATCCAGACCGGCAGCAGAGATTGGACTCGTACTTAGCAGCAGGGCTGCAGAAGAGGATATTTGTAGTGCAGGAAATGACTGAGATCATCTCCCACTGTTGCCATCCGTTACTAAGGTCAACAAACCAACACGGACAGGGTGAGAACTTGTCCAGGCCTCCAGCAAGGAAGAGGTTGCAAGTTGCTCTTGATCCATGGCTATGAGAATTAGGAAAGTCACCAGCAGCTTCAGTGTGACCCATTACAGTCACATCGCACAGGAAATCTCTGACAGGGGAGTAGTCAGTTTAAGGCCGTGAAAGATGAATTTCATTCCCCAAATAAGCGTCCCACTGGGGCTGAGCACCGTGCGGTCTTCTGGCTCCCCAGCACGCAGACTACCTCTGTGGACCTCCTGCCCGTGACCCTCAGAGTGTGTAAGCCTGCTCTTCTATCTCCTTAGAGAACTATATATAGAAATATAAAAATACATTTATATATTAGATTTTTCTTTAATGTTCCATATCAGAGCCATTGGCAAAAGATGGGGAAATCCTCATTTTCAAATACTAAAGATGGCGCAGTACTATAACATAATTGGAGTTATTGATTCGGCTTTTGACAGAAATCAGTCATGAGCTCAGTTTAGTCACA